CACTAAGATTCCTGTGGTAGGAAGGTGGAGATATGTTTGAGGAACCATCCGAATTTCAAATGACCTCTCATCCATTTGGTGACACTTCATCTCCATTTTGTGCGAACTTTGCCATAAATAAAACAGCCCAATGCTTCTCCAGTGATGGTGAAAGTTGTGTTGTTGATGCGGTCAACAACAAATGTTACGTCGATGATTGTCTGATATTCTTTTCAAATTGTGACCAAGCAAGGAAGTTTATCATTCAGATAAGTGAATTATTATGTAGGGGAGGTTTAAAATTCAAGAAGTGGATCACTAATTCGGAAGAAGTAAGGTCCATCTTGCCTGATGTGGGTAAAGAGAAATCCTGGATAGGAGTATCGGCGAGTTGTACTGTTACTCACGGTGTAGAATGGGATGTCTAACGGACGTATTTAAGTTCCACTTCGATGAACCGTTTAAGCCCGTGACAAGGAGCGGGATCCTATCGGTTGTATCGTCTCTGTTCGACGCTTTGGGTCTAATTTCTCCAGTGTGCCTCACGGACAAACTACATTTGCAAAATTTATGTAAATCACAAGTAGGATGGGATCAACCCCTCGGCGAGCCATACGTGTCCACGTGGTTAAATTGGATGAGTTTTATGCGTCGTTTGGATCACGTTACGGTAGCTCGAGGAATCAAGAATAGAACCGACGAACTTGACGCGAGGGTGGAGTTACACTTGTTCGGCGACGCCTCGGAGATTGGTTATGGAGCGGTCGCTTATGCTTGGGTGAATTAAATGAAGACACAACCATACTATATCTTGTTATACAGCAAGTTTAGAGTAGCACCTATCAAACAAGTCACTATACCGAGATTAGATATTACGACAGCGGTTTTAAGTGTAAGGTTGAGTGAAGTTATACGGAAGAGTCTGTCTAAATTATTCTGCGAACTGAATTTCCATACGAATTCCATGATGGTGCTATAATGCAATAAGAATACTGAAAGGCGGTACACCAGCTATATAGCTAATCGTCTCGTCGTCGTCCACCAGTATACCAGAGTTGAACAATGGAGTTATGTAAGTTCGTCACAGAACCCCGCTGATTGGACTTCTAGAGGTATACAAATAATGACCTATCCGGAATCCTGGTTTAAATCTCCCACGCCACTGTATGGCAATTTAGATGCAACTGCTAACCATCCAGAACCTATTCTTGACCAAATCCATTTCGGTGAAGCAGCTGCGGTTAACTTGAGCAGCGTAAAATATAACCCATCACCTATTCTGTCTTACTACTCAGAATGGATGTCACTGGTCAGGGCTGTAGTTTAGCTTAGAAGGTGTAGGATTTTATTTGTCCCACAGATGTAATTCTAGAACAGTTTACTGTTCTAGCTTACCACAGACTCTGTGCTCGCGAGAATCGTAATTCACTGAAATAAATTTAGAAAGAGAAAGATAGGGGTGATGAACATTCAGAAGATTAAATTTGAGAGAGAACACAAAGAGGGGATGCACATGTACCACCGCAAACGATTTTGAGCCATGTCGTTCAAGGTATCTAACCATCGGTTACTATCTCACCGAATTGTACTTCTCAAATCATATTTTCAAACCCTAATCTTCTCCATTACCGCTAATACTTGTACTATCTCTACCACTATAGAATTTGAATTGGCGATTTCATCTCTGTGCTAATGTGATATGGAGACCTGAACTTATGTACATACGTACGAAGTTCAACGTTGTAACTGACTGAATGACTATCGTCTTGCGGACCTCAACCAGGTAATCCGCTTCCACCTACATAGCTCAGTCCACTTGTCAGTGGCTTGATTAATTTGTTCCATGTAATGGTCTAGCCACACATAGCTTTCTAACAGCCTACTCCATACCACTAAACATTGCTCGACGTGGGAGTCGGTGGTTGAGTATTCGTAACACATTTCCAACCACCTCAATTGGTGATATTTCAATACTTCATCTATCAATCTGTCATTATTACCTAGTACTAGTTTCCTAACAACTGCAATGCTTACGCGGTGGTTCAGGAAAAAAAGAGCAATACTTCGAAGACACCTATGATCGAAAATCAGTAAACCTACGAATATCATCTACTCTTACTGGCCATGTCTCACATCCATAGAGCAGGATGGAGCAAACTGCTGCGCAGTACACTTGTCTTTTGGTTAGTAAACGGTTCTCTCGCCTACGCCAAAGCGAATCAAATTGGCAAAAGTCAGTCGAGTCTTCTGTATACATGCTGAGATTTCGCCACAAACCAAGCCATTGGTACTCATGAAATTCCCAAGTGAAGTGGTCATTACGCTCGCCTGTTTCACTCCCTGTTACTAGCTCGGGTGCAATGTAACCCAATCCTGAAGCAACATTTTGCATTTCGAGGGGGAAAACCGAATCCCGAACATGCCTGCATTGTTGCTTAAGGTGTTCAGAAGACTACAGCGTCTTCACCGAATAGAACCATGTCATTGGCATCTTCTAAAACAACAAGCGACTCCACCCCTGAAAAATCAGACCAAGACAATGTTATCTATCAAGGCATGTCTATGACAAATTAGACTAGATTGGCGAAAGTGGACAGCCCTGACGAACAACATTTGAAGTAATGAGTTCCGATTACAGTTTACCATAATCTGTGACTTGACCAGTGGTGTTCGAGTAGAGGGCCTGTGTATGGTTAAGGTACTTCTCTGGTACACCTTTGAATGACAGACGCTATCACAGAACCTCACAATCGACAGAGTCAAGTGCCGCCTTGATATCCAGGAAGACAACTACTGTTGGACGTCGAATTGTGTGTCTCTGTCCTAGGGTCTGACGAAGAGTGAATATTAGGTCTAAACACCCACGTCAAGGTCGAAAACTACAAGTTTGTGTTTTGACATAAGCTGATACGAGTCACTCAGAAACTCTGTTTATGCCACGGAGAACAACGTAGTTTAATTTAATGGAATGTATTATGTCAAGTCTACACACAGCCCAATCACACGAAATTTTACGTGAGATATTTCCGGGCCAGAATGGCAACCGAAATGTGTACTAACTCGAAATATCTCCATTTTGGAATAACGTAACGAAAACATACAGACTAGCGAGTCTGTGGTTAAATGTTTTTCAAACATACGCACGGCCTTGCTTTGGAGTTCACAATGCTGTCTCATCACTTCCTTCAAAACAGACAAAAGTATTTTAGAATCAGTGCATAGATGGACAGGTGAGTGAATGATGGACTGTAAGAATAAATCTCGCGAAGGCAGATTCCAATACTTAGAACTATTCTTTCTAAATTATAAGGGAGTGAATGGTGATCTGCTGACGGGATGCAACATACGCCAAGTCACCCGCACTGCTCATCCTACCAGAACACCACCGCTGCACGTCTAGCAGTGACTGACGAGGAATTGCACATCAATAAACAAATACGCAGAAGTGTTCCAACTTTTTTCATGAAAAGCTGTTTCGACTTGTACTGCTCTGCCATTAGAAGTAATTGCAACTTGTAAAGATCTACAAAATTCGCACTCACACGTGGATTATCATCCCCCATTTAGACCATCTGTGCCCGATACATGTTTCCAAACCTATCTGTTGCCATCTTTATCACACTATCATCATTAAAAATGCACCAACCCGAATTAGAAGACATGCAAACCCATAAGGAACTACTAAACTAACTAGAATTATTGCAGTAAAACAGCTCTTCCAGAGTCCGTTGGACATTACCAGACACTTGAAAGCGTACAGTAACAACAAGAACTGGTAACAAATAAATCATCCGGCATAATATCAACTAGTGAATAAGATATTGGATATCGGACATGACAGCGCCACAAAAGTATTTCTGCTCTACGTGTGGGACTGACCGTGGGACTAGACGTTTGTAAGTCGGATGCAACGAGACGTGTTTGTTCTGTTTTTTAATATATCCTTAGCTAGTTTGTGAAATTGCTTAACCCTTCTGATTGCGAAACCCTTCCAGTAAAATGTTGATGACTCTTGGAAGTTTTTTAGGATTATGACCGTCACAAAATGTAAAGATGTTTTTAGTGTGCTCACCCATTACTGCTCACGACCATTGCGTAGAGTTCGCTGTTCCACACCTCAGTTTGTTCTATTCACGTTTAGCGCTTACCGAAGTGAAGAGCATCAAGTAGTTAAGTAGCCTTAAAACTCACTGGTCTTTATTATTTTCTGTTGAAGCTGTTTACAAAAGTCACAAGAGTTTCTGCAACAAACTAACTAACTGTGAAACAACATATTAGACTGGCTGCTGAGCTATCTCCGCAACCTCTTGACGTTGTCATCCTGATTCTCAATTCCTGTTGTTTTGTGCTTTATTTAATGCCCAATTTGACATGTGCTTCTGCTAGTTTATGGTCAAAATCCAAACACTCAGAAAAAAAATAGTTATCTGTTAATATTCTATCGATGATTGGTAAAGATCCATGAATTAAGGTCTCACTGAGTCCACACCCATCGTTTATTCATGATCTGAGGTCTTCAGGTCTAAGAATATCTCTCTTCATGGTTCTTGCTACAAAAAATTGCATGATCATAGTTGCGATAGACTATCATCACTATCTGTTCTTTAAACTAGCTAAACTTTATAATGCCTTTCCTAAACAAGTATATTAACAAAAGTGCTTGTATAGATATACTTGTAATTTAGTTTATCTTTCTGCTTCATGTAGAAAAAAAGCTTCGGGAAATGTTTTCCAAAACATCGAAACTGATTTCTTTCTCCTGCATAATTGGCATCTTAATATGTATTTACGCATTACATGTGGAATATTCAAAGGAATCAAATAAAGAATATCATGCCTTATGTGATATTTCTGAGTATATAAGTTGTTCAAATGTACTGACATCAAAGTAAGATCACATACTTATGTGGGTTTTTGTTTTACTCTGGTACGGACGAGGGCTTGGATTATCAATAGATTCTAACGGAAATACTCTATTCACCCAAAGAAATCCAGTCTATGGTTTACTTTATTACACCCTGATGTTCTTATTAAGTAATTCGTTATGATTAGTTAAATTTTACGCTCAATGTTTCATTCTACAGATTGTTTCAAATCAAGAAGAATGATGAAATTATCAATCCTGTTATCTTGCATTTCCGTTCTGGGTTCAATTTACTTGTGTTATATTTTATTTTTTATTCTCAAAGATATTTGTCTTGTGTGTTTGTCTACATACGCTGTAAACATTTTTATTTGTTACTTGTCATGTAAACGTTATGGAAATGAAAATTTTGTAAAGAAATTGTCATGAAGTAACTTGATATTTTTCTCATTTCAAACGCTACAATAGATGTGTTATGTTGTATTATCTTGTTTCCTATATTTTTTTCTCTTAAAGTAAACAAATTTGAAAATGTTATGGCATATAGTTGTAACATTCCTGTATGGTGAAATGTTCGCTGTTCTGCTGATGATCCTTCCATTCTTCTCATCACAAACGTAAGATCTATACACATTTCAAATTTACATAGATATTATTGTACTTTAAACTAGATGGAGCAAATTCTTCAAATTCGGTATAATTCGGAGAATTTCGGAAAAATCATCATTCTATTTTCGCTTATTCCTTGTAATGTTAGTATGCGTGTTAGCTGGTAAGTAAAACATGTTTCTAGTGCGTTTTCCCCAAAAAGCAAATTTTCTGAAAGCCTATCGTTTAAATATGCATTAGTCAGTCAGTTACAACGTAGGACTTCGTACATACATACATACATACATCAGTTCAAGTTGCCATGCCACATTATCACAGAGAGATAGAACTGTCAATTCATATCCCATAGTGGTAGTGCTAGTAGCAATATTAGCAGTGATCAAAAATGTTATTCTAGAAGTATATCCTAGGGAAAAAAGAGGGTTGATGAGAAGTCTAAAAGATAAGAATTTGAGAGAAGATGAAGTGGACGCATCTGCGCCATTGCAAACGATTTTCAGCCATGTCACCCAGTCTCTAACCAGTGACGATTGTCTCGTGGACCCCAACCAGATAGTCTATACCTACTAACATGGCTCAGTCCCGCTGTGAATGACTTTATGCGTTTGTGCCATGTTTTGGTGGCCCCTAGTTCTCTCCTAGACTACCCCTGCATGTCATTTTATACAGTATTAACAGTTGCTGCAGGTTAAGTCCTGGCTAATGCATTGTTGAGCCTTCTGTTAACTGTGCCTGTAACATCACTTTCAGTCAGTCAGTCAGATGCAACGTAGAACTTCGTACGTAAGTACATCAGTTCATGTTGCCATACCACATCAGCACAGAGATATAATTATCAATTCAAATCCAATAGTAGAAGAGGTAGTAAGGGAATTAGGAGTAATCGGAGAGGTTAGGGTTAGAAGATACTATTCAAGAAGTATGATTCGGTGAGAAAAGTTTATAGAGTCGAAACTAGAGGTGCTGGAGAATCCAGAAGATTATGATTTCAGAGAACACAAAGAATAAATGCACCAGCGCCATTGCGAACGATTTTGAGCCATGTCATTCAAGGTCTCTAACTATCGATTATTATCATCTCGCGGACCCCAACCAGGTAGTCGACAATTACCGACATGGCTCAGTCCACTAGTCAATGACTTCATGGATTTCTGCCATGTTTTGGTTTGGCCGCCCCTAACTTTCTTCCAACATATTCCTACACTACAAAACAAAGTTCGTCGAGGCAGTCGGTGGTTAGGCATACGCAAGACATGTCCCAACCACCTCAACTGATGAAGTTTCACCACTTCATCGATCGATCTGCCATTCTTTCCTAGCACCCGATTCTTAATAACAGCGTTGCTCACTCGGGTGTCCCACGATATACGAGCAATGCTTCGAAGACACCGATGATCGAAAACCAGTAACCTACGAATATCTTCTACTCTTACTGGCCATGTTTCACAGCCATATAGGAGAACGGAGCGAACTGCTGCACAGTACACTCGTCCTTTGATTAGAGAACGGATATCACGCCTACGCCATAAGTGACGCAAGTTGGCAAAAGCCAATCGAGCCTTCTGTATCCGAGCTGAGATTTCGTCAGTCACCAGGCCAAAATCATTTTAAAAGTTTAGATTTGAAAATATTGGTTTTTTGTTGATTTTTGTCATACTTGACTTGTTCTCTGTGAGTTTTTAAATTTTCCAATAAATTTCTGTGGGCAGCGGTTGTCTCTTAAGCATTTTTCAACGTTCATCATTTATTCCAGTTTGTTAGAGGTACACATCCTTTCATCTTTTGTGCAAGTGTTCTAAATAACATTTTCTTGTAATCGATTAGACAAAAACTGTTGAAATCCTAGTACAGACCATTCCGAGTACTTTTCCTATAGACTTAACGTTGAACTGTTCCATCTGTCCTCCGTTGTAAGGCAATATCAAGAAACTGGAATACATTCTTTTCGTGTTCCACAGTAAGTTATATATTGGGATAAGCATTGTTGAGTAGTTCTAGCGGATGGGTTGCATGCTTTTTGCTACTACAGACAATAAACGTATCATCAACTTATCTAGAGTATTCCTATTGCTATACCGTCAATTTGACGGTATATGGTGTTATTGAACTGCAATCGAACGGCTCTTGTTCATATAAAAAAGTGTTTTTCTTTTGAATTATGTCACTGGTTAAGGTAGTTGATCGGAATTCTGACAAATTATATCAATAGTTTCAAGAAGTAGTATTTTCGTGAACAAGGATGGTACATTGAAAGAGACCATGAACCTTCCAGCAACATTCATACGATTTAGTCTGTCAGCGAATCGGACTGATCTCTTAACGTACATGTTGTTAACCTCTGGCAGATTAGTTCTAACTTATCTGTTAGCCAGCTTGCGAATCTTTGATTTGGGGAATTAATCATTGATAGAATGAGTCTAAGGGGAACATTGTATTTGTGCAATTTGGTAGACAAATAAGGTAGGCATAAACCACGGGTTCTTAGATCATTATAAATAGAATTGGTTATCGTTCTCTAAGCATTCTTGTTATCCGTCTTTCTGTTGAACCAGTCAGATCCTTGTTGCGCTCGTCTATCTTAAATCTCACCTGATCTTTTAGGATTAACTGTCTTCAATTAAGATGGACAAGCGAAACAAGGTGGAGTGAGGTTCCAATCCGTAACCGCGCATCAGTTGAAAGCTTGATGTTTAGTCGTTGACCACCCGACCGTAGCTGCTACCTCGACATGTTGGTTGGGGTGGCTGGAACACTTGATTCTTCAGGTTCTACTATGCCAGGCAGGTCGATTGGAGAACGTGTAAACTAAAAACAGCAACTTAGGGCTTGAGAGCAAACTCGTACTGCTGACTGTAGAGTCGTGTGGCAGCAGTAAGGTGTTTCCGTCGGACAACCAGCATCTGCAGCAATGCTACTTTGTCACAACAGAAAGGTTTAGGAAGGATCAACTGTAAAATGTTACACCTCACTTTACCCCATGGATTTCCGTCTTCGGCGGTAAAGCCATTTGAAAAGTGGAACTAACGCTTTAATACTTCTCATAAAAAGGCCGTGCGCGTCCGGTCTCAAGCAGTTGCTCTTGGGGCTTTGCAGCCACGCTTCCAGGTTGCTAAGAACATCTGTAATCCAACTTTCTTTTAATATTCTTCAGGATACACCCTTCTCAGATGTGGACAACCGGAAAGTGACATCTGCCCTCATACCCGTAGCACTATACGGTATCAACTTGGTCAAAATCAAATTAATTAACCACCTTTTCGTGATGAAAGTGCTAAGTTACCTCCTTAGCGTAGTTTGCTCATGAGTATTTCTGAGGTCAGGCATAAGGTACCAGGTAAATGAAGCATTAAAGCGTCACCAACCGTGGTGGCTTGAGGATGTTTTACGTTTTCCCGACCACCTCCCACCTCGACGCGGGATACTGTCTAGTGTAAGGGTAGGTGTGGAGCAACTTAGGGGCGCCCAAACCAATTAAGCGCTAGCTGACGAAGTCACTGACTTGGAGACTCAGTCAGTCAGTTAAAACGTAGAACTTCGTACGTATGTACATAAGTTCCTGGAACATAGACACACATTTAGGCGTCCTACAATAGTTGTTTTCCTGGACCTAAAAGCGGCATTTGACTCTGTTGATCGTGAGGTTCTGTGGCAGTGTCTGTCATTGAAAGGTGTACCAAAGAAGTACATTAACCTTATACAAGCCCTTTACTCGAACACCACTGGTCGAGTGAGGGCTTATGGCGAACTGTCATCTGAATTCTCAACATCAAGTGGTGTCCGTCAGGGATGTCCACTTTCTCCATTCTTGTTTAATTTCATCATAGACATGCTCCTAGAAATAACCTTATCCTCGTCTAAATTTTCAGGAGTAGACCTTCTACCAGGTGGCTCGCTTATTGACTTAGAATATGCCGATGACATAGTCCTACTTGGTGAAGACGCTGACAAAATGCAGAGTCTTCTGACTACCCTAAGCAACAATGCAAGCATGTTCGGGTTGCGATTTTCCCCCTCGAAATGCAAAATGTTGCTTCAAGACTGGGTTGCATCGGCACCTGAACTAGTGATAGGGAGTGAAGTAGTCGAACCTGTAGACCGCTTCACTTATCTTGGGAGTCTCATCAGTGCCGATGACCTGTTGACTGGCGAAATCTCAGCTCGAATACAGAAGGCTCGATTGGCTTTTGCCAACCTGCGTCACTTATGGCGTAGGCGTGATATCCGTTCTCTAATCAAAGGACGAGTGTACTGTGCAGCAGTTCGCTCCGTTCTCCTATATGGCTGTGAAACATGGCCAGTAAGAGTAGATGTTCGTAGGTTACTGGTTTTCGATCATAGGTGTCTTCGAAGCATTGCTCGTATACCGTGGGACAACCGAGTAAGCAATGCTGTCGTTAGGAAACGAGTACTAGGTAAGGATGGCAGATCGATCGATGAAGTGGTGAAACTTCATCAGTTGAGGTGGTTGGGACATGTCTTGCGTATGCCTAACCACCGACTGCCTCGACGAACTTTGTTTTGTAGTGTAGGAATATGTTGGAAGAAAGTTAGGGGCGGCCAAACCAAAACATGGCAGAAATCCATGAAGTCATTGACTAGTGGACTGAGCCATGTCGGTAATTGTCGACTACCTGGTTGGGGTCCGCGAGATGATAATAATCGATAGTTAGAGACCTTGAATGACATGGCTCAAAATCGTTCGCAATGGCGCTGGTGCATTTATTCTTTGTGTTCTCTGAAATCATAATCTTCTGGATTCTCCAGCACCTCTAGTTTCGACTCTATAAACTTTTCTCACCGAATCATACTTCTTGAATAGTATCTTCTAATCCTAACCTCTCCGATTACTCCTAATACCTTTACTACCTCTTCTACTATTGGATTTGAATTGATAATATATCTCTGTGCTGATGTGGTATGGCAACATGAACTGATGTACTTACGTACGAAGTTCTACGTTGCATCTGACTGATGTACATAAGTTCAGGTTTCCATATCACATTAGCACAGAGATGCGATTGCCAATTCAAATTCCATAGTGGTAGAGATCGTCGAAGTATTAGCGGTAATGGAGAAGATTAGGGTTCGAAAAAATTATTCAAGAACTGTAATTCACTGAAAGAAATTTAGAAAGAGAAAGATAGAGGTGATGAACATTCAGAAGATTAGAATTTGAGAGAGAACACAAAGAGGGGATGCTCATGTACCACTGCAAACGATTTTGGGCCATGTCGTTCAAGGCTTCAGTGAATTTTACTTCTCGAATCATATTTTCAAACCCTAATCTTCTCCATTACCGCTAATACTTCTACTATCTCTACCACTATAGAATTTGAATTGGCGATTGCATCTCTGTGCTAATGTGGTATGGAGACATGAACTTATGTACATACGTACGAAGTTCTACATTTTAACTGACTGACTGAGTCTATACCCATTATCATGGCGTATACCAAGTTAATGACTTCGTCAACTGGCTCTGAATTGGTTTGGGCGCCCTTAAGTTGTCCCAAGAGGTCTTTCGTTCTATTTTTGTGGACTGGGGCAATATGTGATTGAGACCAGTCAGATGGGATTATGCCTAGTTCCCAGATTCTCTACCTAGGATCTCAGTCAATCTTGCTTCCTTAAAAAATCTCAGGGATATACCTGTACAGACATTTTAAAATTATGCAATTAAATATTTACAAAATGACATGGTTGTATTGAAGTAAAATGAAAAATCAAGCAAAAAAAACTTTGCTATCTCGTAACTAAATGAGTACTGAATCAATTCATTGCACAGATATATGGTCTATGAGGTATAAGCAGAAAATATAATATAAAGATTCTTCTGACTCCCCTAAGCAACAATGCAAGCATGTTCGGGATGTGATTCTCTTTCTGGAAATGCGAATTGTTGCTCCAAGGATCGGTTTGCGTCGGCTAAGGAGTAAACTAGTTGAGAGTGTTGACCGCTGCGCTTATCTCTGAAGTCTCATCAATGCCGATGGCTTGGTGTGTGGCGAAATCTCAGCACGGATACAGAAGGCTCTACTGACTTTTTCCAATTTGAATCGCTCATGGTGTAGGTGAGATATCGGTTTGCTAACCAAAGTACAAGTCTACTGTACAGCAGCTCGTTCTGTCCTACTTTACGAGTGTGGAACGCGACCACTAAAATTGGTGGATATTTGTAGGTTACTAATTTTCGATCATAGGTATCTTCGAAGCATTGTTCGTTGATTCTGGAACCACCGAGTAAGCATTGCAGTTGTTAGAAAACGAGTACTAAGCTTACCTAGCAGATCAATAGATGTAGTGGTGAAACTTCATCAGTTGAGGTGGTTGGGACATGTTTTATGAATGTATAGAGTAGGCTGTTAGAAAGCTATGTGTGGCTAGACCATTCCATGTTACAAATTCATCAAGTCACTGACAAATGGATTGAGCCATGTTGGTAAGTGTAGACTACCGTGTTCGGGTCGGCGAGATGAAAGTAATTGATGGTTAGAGACTTTGAACGACATGTTTGAAAATGGTTTGTAATGGGGTAGGTGCATGTATTTTCTTTGTGTTCTCCGAAATTCTAATCTAAACTCCTCATGACCTTCATTTTTCTCTTCTTAAGTCGATTTGACTGAATTGTACTTGTTGAATAATATTTTTGCACCGTGATCTTTGTTTGTAAGTATTGCTCATACTTCTCCTACCTCTATCACTGTGGGATTTGAATTGAGAATTCTCTCTGTGTATGATAGTGTGGTATTATGGTGACTCAAAATAATGTACCTTGAGTACCAAGTTCTACGTTATAGCTGAATGACTGACTGACTGAATTGTATATATTGTTACCCATTTCATATATAGATATCATCGATCCGTTTTTAAAATTATTTTTTTCTACAGAAGCACTTCGTAATGTATGGTCATTGAGACAAGCTTATGCTTCACTGAAAGATCATCCTCATGAAATGCGTCCAGAAACAGAATCACTTTATTTAATGCGTATGTTTCGTGCTCAACGTAATTTCTATATTAGTGGATTTTCATTATTTGTCTGGTTGTAAGTGAATTATTTATCGATTTATTCGTTTGTCCATTGATTCTTTTGTTTAAACTAAATTTTCGTCGATTATTTTTAGTTAAACTTGTTCATTATTATATATTAGTGAACACAGAATGTAACTTGATGATTATTGAGTACTTGAAATACGGATAGATTTCAACAGTTTACTACTAAGATCGTGGTTTGTGTGACCTCTGACAAGGAGATTTATTGGACACAGTACCAGTTTTTTCTTTAGTAGAAGCTGAAAAAACTCACTAACAAAGTGTTATTTGTTTGTAGTTTATTTAATGTGTTTCAATTTTCTCACACCCGTTTTTGTGCTTCTACTCTCTGTCTGATTTAATTTTTATATGTGATGATCAGTGTGACACAGAATTCTTCTGTTTATCACTTCATTATTGGTGACTAAAAATCAGGAAAGATCGGTTATTATATGACGCTCCTAGAGTTCATAATTCCTACCTCAGCTCTTTTTGATTGCAACTTGTAAGTACTAAAAGATTTATTCTAGTAGTGGACGGCGTTTGAGTTTCAGCCATTAGATCCCTAGGTCCGAATCCATTATATGTAAAATATGTTTCTTCTTGTTTTTCAACAAATAAATAGTATCAGTAGATTTGGTGTGATTAGCTGTGAAATATGGAGTATTTGTTTCATCCTGTTTAAGCTGGATGTACCTGCATCGTAGTGTTACTGTTCGTATTTTTGATTCTAACCCAGTACCTTTTACTTCAAATACCCATCACTTTGTGCATTGAGCTACTTACTAATTGTAGATAGACACTTCTATACCAAGTGCAAATAGCCACTAGCTTGTGCGCCTACGTTAGTTTTAGCTTATTTTTACTGGTTCTTTGAATGTTCCTCTTGATGTTGTGTACACACTGACTCAGTCAGTCAGTCAGTCAGTTGCAACGTAGAACTTCGTACGTATGTACATAGGTTCATGTTGCCATACCACATTAGCACAGAGACGCAAATGTCAAATCAAATCCCATAGTGATGAAGATAGTAGAGGTATTAATGGTAATGAAGAAGACTAGGGTTTGAAGATATTATTCAAGAAGTATAATTCAGTGAGATAAGGTTAGAAAGACAAAGGTAGAGGTGCTGACAAATCCAGAAGATTAGGATTTGAGAGAGCTCAAAGAGTGGATGCACCTGCGCCATTGCAAACGATTTTGAGCCATGTCGTTCAAGGTCTCTAACCATTGATGACTTTAGTCTCAAGGACTTCAACCAGGTGGCCTACATCTACCAACATGACTCAGCCCACTTATCAGTGACTTCATGGATTTATGCCATGTTTTGGTCTGGCCACCCCTAGCTTTCCACTCTACTACCCCTGCATCACAAAACATAGCTCGGTAAGGCAGTCGGTGGTTAGGCATACGTAACACATGTCCCAACCACCTTAACTGGTTAAGTTTCGCTACTTCATCTATTGATCTGCCATCCTTACCTAGTACCCGTTTCCTAACGACAGCATTGCTTACTCGGTTGTCCCACGGTAAACAACCGATGCTTCTTAAACATCTATGATCGAATACTAGTAACCCTCGAACATCTTTCACCCTGAACGGCCATGTTTCACATCCATAGAGCAGGATGGAGCGAACTGCTGCGCAGTACACCCGTTCTTTGGTCAGCAAACGGATATCTTACCCTACTCCATAAGTGACGCAGGTTGGCAAAAGCCAATTGAGCCTTCTGTATCCGAGCTGAGATTTAGTCAGTCACCAGGCTATCAGCGCTGATGAGACTCCCCAGATAAGTGAAGTGATCAACACGCTCGACTACTTCACTCCCTATCACTGTAGTGAAGGAGAACACAGATGAGGGCAACTGAATTGTATTTAACGAAAATTACAGAGTTACTCAGTAAAATAGGAAAACCATATCGTAGACGGTTAATTTGCAAATCTTCAATCCATCATCAATCCATTGTCTGACATTTCACTATTCATGCGTTTCATACAAATTACATTGTGTTCCCACTCTTCCTTTCTTGATCTTCCCCATCTTCTACCGCAGACATTACGTCTACACTCGCGTCATATACTACTTATAAGTAGCGCGCAACACATCACTAGTTCAGGCGCCGATGCAACCCAGTCTTGAAGCAACATTTTGCATTTCGAGGGTGAGAACCGCATCCCGAACATGCTCGCATTGTTGCTTAGGGTAGTCAGAAGACTCTGCATTTTGTCAGCGTCTTCACCAAATAGGACTATGTCATCGGCATATTCTAAGTCAATAAGCGAGCCACCTGGTAGAAGGTCTACCCCTGAAAAATCCGACGAGCTTAATTTTATCTCTAAGAGAATGTCTACGACAAAGTTAAACAACAATGGAGAGAGTGGACATCCCTGTCGGACACCACTTGATGTAGAGAATTCAGATGACAGTTCGCCATAAGCTCTTACTCGACCAGTGGTGTTCGAGTAAAGGGCTTGTATAAGGTTAATGTACTTCTTTGGTACACCTTTCAATGACAGACACTGCCACAGAACCTCACGATCCACTGAGTCGAATGCCGCTTTTAGGTCTAGGAACACGACTATTGTCGGACGTCTAAATGTGTCTGTGTTCCAGGACCTGTCGTAGTGTAAAGATGTGGTATATACAACCACGTCCAGGTCGAAAACCAGACTGGTTTTCTCGAGTCTGCTCCAGTTAGACGTCTAAGTATAATCAAGGCTAACAATTTAGAAACTATACCAGTTTAACTGATTCCCCTGTGATTATCACAACAGGACTTTTGTCCTTTCTTGTAGATTGGGACAATTAGCGACTGAGACCAGTCAGATGGGATTACGTCCAGTTCCCATATTCTACCTAGGATTTCGGTCAGTCTAACTGTTAAAACTGGACCACCATTCTTAAATATCTCAGGGGTTAGTCTATCAAGACCTGCCGCTCTATCTCCCTTTAGATCTCCCATAGCTTTCTCAACTTCATGTAGACTGGGAGGACTTATATCGATTTGCCATCCAGGATGACTGGGGATCGTGGGCAACCGAAGTGTGGCTCGAGGCCAGTTGAACTGATCCCTAAAGTGTTCTGCCCATCGGTCCAGTCTCCTTGATTGAGAATGGATAATAAGACCATCCTTTTCCGAGATAGTCTCACTCACATTCGGGTTCCTAATACCGGTTTCTTTAATAAGGCGGAAAAGTTGTCTAGTGTTGCCTATCGCCGCTGCCTTTTCCATCGCTTTTGCTTTCGCCACCCGCCACTGTTCACTGTCGTTGCGCAGGCTTTTTATAAGTCTGCGGCTAAGCTGACTCCGCTCTTCATCACCCCCAGAGCCAGGTGGGATGAGTTTTCAGCATCCTTCAGATCGGTGGATGCTACTGAGATCCACGGTTTCATCCTAGCCTTATGGTTTACCTTGCTAGCAGATATCACTGCTGTTTCCACAGCCTTCTTGATATCATTCCAACCTGCCTCCGGATGTGGATCACTTGCGTGGTCGCCTAACTGTTTTTCTAGTTCCAGCTGAAGTATTTTCTTAGCTTGATTATCATCAAGTAAAGCCCTAAGAGGCTTCCTTACGGTGTCTTTACTACGCCCAGTAAGCCTCGAACTATTTCGAGCTCGCTCTACGGCATGATCTGAATCTAAATATGTGCCCGAGAACGAGCGGCATTCCTCTATTGAACCTCTCCATCGGTGGCTTACGGCGCCATGATCTAGTTGCGTCCAACGTTGAGACGACTTTGGAGGTCGCCAGGTCAAAAGATGTTTTTCCTTATGCTTAAAGTTAGTGTTTGCTAGGAATGGGCGGTTATCTGAGCACAGTTGCTACATACGGTCGCCATCGTCTGTTCTCTGAGCCGCTACACCATAACATCCATCCAGGTATCTTTCATTTTCACTTAGTCTACCTACTTGAGCATTGAAGTCACCAGACATTATTACTACATATGAGTGCCTAACGTTTTGGAGGAGGTCCGAAAGCTTTCTATAAAACTCATCTTTCACATCGTCTGGACTGCAGTCAGTGGGGGCGTAGGATGATATGACGAAGAGGCAACGACGAGTGTCCCTATCCTTTCGAATCCTTACTGTCCCGTTTGGTCGGACAGCGCACAAGCGACTATCTACAGGGATCCCATCAAGGAGAGATAGTTCAGCCCTACGACTCAATACTATACCTACACCAGCGAGACCCCGGGAAGCAGCATCAGTGCTACCGGATACACGAAGAGTAAATCGAGTTGCTTCTTTATCTTGACATGGTGAGGTCAAGTGAATGATGCTACTCGGATCCTGTATGCGCGTTTCCGAGACGCAGCATACATCGATGGCGCGAGATTCTAAAGTCCTAGCTAAGGAAGCCTGTTGCCCTATTTGACACAATTTCTGTACATCAAAAGCTCCAACGTGTAGTCTAGAACGCGGTTTCAAGAGACCAGGAACGACGTTTCGTGAACTCGCATCGTCTGCATTAGCGGTGCAGTGAGAAAAAGGACTGTGAGTAGAGTTTGTTATGGAGAGAAGAGAGGTACTAGGTGGTGTAGGAAGGATTTGATTTTGACCAATTTTGTCTCTCGTGCTGTTATGGGTATGAGGGCGGTTATCACTTCCCGGCTGCCCACACCGTGGAAGGTTGTTTCTTGAGGGACCTGACAAGAAAGATAGATATGGGAGCGTGACCACAGAGCCCAAGGGACAACTGCCTGAGGCCGGTCACGCACGGATTAGCTCCGCTCTTGAAAGTTGCTAGTGGGCACCCTTACCGCCGGAAACGGAAATCCGTGAGGTGTGGTGAGGTGTGACATTTTTAGGGTCGACCTTTTCTAACTCTTCCTTCCTTGTGAGAAGGCAGCATCGCTGCAGATGCTGGTTGTTCGAGGGAAACACCTTACTGCTGTCACACCCCTCCACAGTCAGTCAGCAGTACGACTTCGCCCTCAGACCTTGGGTAGCTGCTTTTAGTTTCATCGTTCTCCAATCGACCTGCCTGGCACGGTAGAATGAACCTGCAGGAACATATGTTGCAGCCAATATAGTTTGGTTGAGTCATCACGATAGGCAAGCCCGACCACCATGTCAAGGTAGCAGCTCCGGTCGAGGTACACACCGATTAATGAATTCTAAACAGGATGTAACGTGTATTCTCGACTCAACTGTGAGACACTATTCAACTGTGCTTAGAATAGTTTATTGCCTCAAAAGCAGTAATATTTACATAAACATATCGTTTTTTTCCTATTATTTCTTGTATAAATCTTCAATATATCTGATTTTCATATTTTTCAAGCGTACTGCATCGTCTTGTCAGTTTACTTTCGGAACATGCCAAAATGGCAGCTTCTGAAGAGGCAAGTATTAGACAAGCTCAGAGTGCAACAGCTGCTGCACAACGTTTGTTAGATCAACCAAAGGTCACCACTGACAGTGATACAGAAGATGTATATGTAAGTTGGTAATCTTCATCGAAATGTTATTTGAATCTCGTGATTTAACTTCGATGCTTTCTCACTATCATTCTCGACAACACTATCAGGGTAAGCTTTTTAGGTAGAAGTGTGTATAACATTCAGCTTTTAGTGACAGTTATGTTGTGCAGTTGGTTTGAATACTGACACTAATACTTGAACCCGAACTTATTATAATTCAATAAGAAGAAAGGTTTATTGAGAAAAACCGAATCGAGAATATGGTGTACACTCACGTCCATTAAAAGATATAACTACACTTCCAACCACATCCTCTTCAAGAAGATTTGGGATGAGGAACAAGTACCATCAGATTGGAAAGAAGGATACCTGATCAAAATACCAAAGAAAGGCGACCTGAGCAAGCGTGAGAACTACAGAGGCATCACTCTTCTTTCAATACCAGGTAAAGTCTTCAACAGAGTATTGTTAAACAGAATGAAGGACTTTGTAGACGCCCAACTTCGAGATCAACAGGCCGGATTTCGTAAGGATCGATCGTGTACTGACCAACTTGCTACATTACGGATCATTGTGGAACAATCAATTGAATGGAACTCACCACTCTACATCAACTTCATCGACTACGAGAAAGCATTCGATAGCGTGGATAGGAAAACACTGTGGCGGCTTCTTCGACACTACGGTGTGCCTGAGAAAATAGTTAATATCATACGGAACTCTTATGATGGATTCAACTGCAAAATCGTGCACGGACGTCAGCTGACAGACTCTTTCGAGGTGAATACCGGTGTCAGACAAGGTTGCTTACTCTCACCCTTTCTCTTTCTCCTGGTGACCGACTGGATTATGAAGACGTCGACATCTGAAGGGGAGCACGGTATTCAGTGGACAGCTAGGATGCAGCTGGACGATCTGTACTTCGCAGATGATCTGGCTGTTCTATCGCACACGCGACAACAAATACAAGAGAAGACGACCAGTGTAGCAGCAGCCTCTGCAGCAGCAAGTCTCAACATACATAAAGGAAAAAGCAAACTTCTCCGATGCAACACAACATGCACCAGCCAAATCACTCTTGATGGAGATGCCTTGGAGGCCGTTAACACCCTTAACATATCTGGGCAGCATCATCAACAATCAAGGTGGATCCGATGCAGATGTGAGGGCGCGGATTGGCAAAGCAAGAGCTGCATTTCTACAGTTGAAAAATGTCTGGAACTCAAAACAACTTTCAACCAAAATCAAAATCAGGATTTTCAATACAAATGTCAAGACAGTCCTACTGTATGGATCGGAAACTCGGAGAACTACGAAAGGCATCATCCACAAGATACAAGTGTTTATTAATAGCTGTCTACGCAAAATATTTCGGATTCGTTGGCCAGACACGATCAGCAACAACGAACTATGGGAGAGAACAAGTCAGATTCTAGCGGAGGAGGAAATCAGGAAGAAGCGGTGGAAGTGGATAGGACACACATTGCGGAAAGCACCTAACTGCGTCACGAGACAAGCCCTCACATAGAACCCTCAATGTAAAAGGAAAAGAGGAAGGCCAAGGAACACACTACGCCGAGAAATAGAGAAAGATATGAGAAAAATGAACAAACATTGGACAGAACTGGAGAGGGAAGCCCAGGACAGAGTTGGTTGGAGAAAACTGGTGGGCGGCTTTTGCTCCATTGGGGGTAACAGGCGTAAGTAAGTAAGTAAGTACACTTCCAACCAGTGATATATATGTCTCTCCTTCGAAAATCAAGCTAAATCTTGACCAGTGAATTGACATGCATCTTTTAACCAGTGTCTACATGTATATATAACCTGCAGACACCACTGTACACAAGAAAAGTGTACTTGAGTGAATTCGGAAGAGAAATAATGTTAAACGACGTGTATAGAATGCATTTGCATTGAATAGCAAGTGTAATCAATAACATTACTAAATAAAATAAAGGCATGAGATTCAAATAATTAACTCATTGAAACTAGAAAGCGATAGTGTAATATTTAAAATATATTCCAGTAAACAATTTCTAATCTACCCACATATCATCAAGCTTCCGAAAAATGCTGCCTCTCTAAAACTAGAAAATTTTTAAAAGCTTAATATTCAAGTTAATTAACCGATATTTAATAAACTTATCCAACAAACTGGTTCAATCGATTATTGATTAATTAGAAAAAAATCTTAAATAATTATTATCAGGTCAAGCAGGCATCAAGTCATTTGAGAGGACAATCAAATTAGATATTCAGGCAATTGACAATAAAACAAATCATCTGTAGATGTTTTTTTTATATTGTCCCACTGACTAATTACTTATTCACTTATCGGCAGCTGTGGAGCAGCTCCTCTTCACCTGCTTGTTTTTGCTTCTGTGTATTCGGCTGTGATTGATTGATTGTTCTTCCTTTCTTGAATCTTATGCAAAGTATCCATAGAGATTCATTCCTTTTAATGTGTTCCTTGTGGCCCAGAACTTCGTGACATCTCGAAGTTATTTCTTCCTTAATCATTCTCCAATTGTTCCCCATGGTAGTTTCCTCTCCATCGAATAGATCCTGAAAGGTTTATTTGTTAAGAACCATCATTGAGTTCGCCAGTTTCTTTAAGAAAAGCCGTATTAAACTTTTGTAATGCTATTTGACCAGTTGTTCAGTGTTTCCTTGGTTTCAATTTCATTTTGGCTATCATCAAGTGAAAATCTGAAGCTATGTCGGCTCCTGTCTTTGTTCTTATGTTTTCTTCCATGGTCCTTCTAAACTTTTTATTGATGCATGTGACCGATTTGGCTCTCTAGTGTAATCCTGTGAAGCCCATGTCGCGTTGTGCATGCGTTTGTGCTGGAATATGGTGCCGCCTATAACCATTTTGTTAAAGGCACATAGGTTTATGAATCTCCCACCTTTTTCGTTCCTTTTTCTCATTCCATGTCATCTCATAATGTCTTCATGTCCAGTATTGTCTATTCCAACTTTGTCGTTTAGTTCTCCCATCAGAATGGTCAAGTCCTTTGTTCGGTATTTCTTGATGATTGACTGCAGCCTCTCGTTGAATTGATCTGTATCGTCCTCATTGTTATCGTTTGTACGTGCGTAGCACTGGATGACGTTCATTGGAATCTCCTCTCTCGTTGTTTTGAAGGAGGCACTGATGATCCTGGGCTCATGAGATTCCCATCCTATCAGTGTAACTGCTTGTGTGTGTGTGAGGCATTTTCTTCTTCATGGCCGGAGCATAACAACATCTCTCCTGAAGCTAGTCTTTGTTGCCCAACTTGCGTCCAATGTGTTTCACTGATTCCAAGTACCACCAGTTTGTATCTTTTCATTAAGGCAGCATTTTGGATGACTCTCTCGGTCTCGCACAATGTGTAAAACATTCCATGATTGCTCTGGTTGTTAGAAGGGATATCGGTCTTGTGACTTCCGGAGAAACTCGGCTTTCAACATGAAACGCCATAACTCCTCTAAATGAAGACCTAACTCCCAAGGAAGAGTTTAAATGGTTTGAATTATTTTTTATGGTTAGCTTTTCTGTAACAATTTGGCTTTCTACATGATGGGGTCGCTAACCGTATGCCCGACTTCTCTTTTATCCGGGCTTGGGACTGGCAGTAACCCGAGAAGAGCTCCGGGCAGAGTTGTCCCATTGATGATGGTAAAGACTATAAACGATCAATCCCGTTTTAAGCGTATGTGCACCCTAAATGAATTGCCTTCCCGACCGAAGCTGCTACCTTGACGTGGTGGTCGGGCTTGCCTATCGTGATGACCCAACCAAGCTATATTGGCTGCAACATATGTTCCTGTAGGTTCATTCTACCGTGCCAGGCAGGTCGATTGGAGAACGATGAGACTAAAAGCAGCTACACAAGGTCTGAGGGCGAAGTCGTACTGCTGACTGTTAAACATGGCCAGTCAGAGTAGAAGATATTCGTAGGTTACTAGTATTCGATCATAGATGTTTAAGAAGCATTGCTTGTATACCGTGGGACAACCGAGTAAGTAATGCTGTCGTTAGGAAACGGGTACTAGGTAAGGACGGCAGATCAATAGATGAAGCATTGAAACTTCATCAGTTGAGGTGGTTGGGACATGTGTTACGTATGGCTAACCACCGACTGCCTCGACGAGCTATGTTTTGTGGTGTAGGAGTAGGTTGGAAGAAAGCTAGGGGCGGCCAGACCAAATCATATCAGAAATGCATGAAGTCACTGACTAATGGTCTGAGTCATGTTGGTAGATGTAGACTATCTGGTTGGGGTCCTTGAGACGAAAGTCACCAATGGTTAGAGACCTTGAACGACATGGCTCAAAATCGTTTGCAATGGCGCAAGTGCATCCATTCTTTGTGTTCTCAAATCCTAATCTTCTGGAATCGTCAGCATCTCTACCTTTATCTTTCTAACCTTATCTCACTGAATTATATTTCTTGAATAATATTTTCAAACCCTAGTCTTCTTCATTACCATTAATACCTCTACTATCTTTATCACTATGAGATTTGATTTGACATTTGTGTCTCTGTGCTAATGTGGTATGGCAACATGAACCTATGTACATACGTACGAAGTTCTACGTTGCAATTGACTGACTAAATGAATTGCCTTAATATTTGCCATTTGTTCATTAGCATCTTTAGGCGAAACTTGATCATAGACAACAATGGAATCCAGTAGAAATACTCATCCTAGGTTCCACTATTAAATGCTACGCCAACTTTGTTAAAATAAAATAAATATTGATAACAGCCAATCAAATTGAAGGTTGACAAAACAAGTTGTTAATTATGTGTAGAGAGAGAAATTCCAATAGTTTATTTCAATCTAAAAATTTGTACTGGTGGTGTTATCGTGAAAGGACAATAAAAGACAATTTCATAACCAAACTTTTTTTGATCTATTATTATCTGAAAGTTGTTTCTTTTTCTTCATTTGATGAATATATTTTATTAAGTCGTCTTTTTCTAATCTGATTGTTACGTAGCTGTTTCGTCCCAACATAATATGACGCAACGGTACTCATTCACGACCGCACCAGGGATCGAAGCCAAGACGGTTAGGTTTCACTCTAAAGGTTATGCGCTCACCATGAAACTGGAACGTTCTGATTCTTATTCATGAAGGGGGGTCGTTGATGTATACATCTGTGGAACTCCATACTAGAATTAAACTTCCCTTGATTTTCATTGATTGGTCTAGCTACAGTCAATCCATGATATAAACTGAAAAACAAAACAATGCTAGACACGAGATTTATCGATATTATTTAAACTTATTGAGTATATTACATCATGCAGGATAAAAGCAACTCTCTTTTCGCAAAGTTTTTTGTTGATATAGACAGTCATAACTGGTCAAATAAATGTCGGAACTATGTTGTATTCGGTCGAATCGCGTTTGATTCAAACATGAAGTGACGATAAAAAGTGTGAGGTAGCTTGAAAACCTCAGGTTTGAGCCGAGTTGGATCAACCACAAGCGCAGATCTTGGTGATCACAACATATATTTGAATGAGAAACTTAAAGGCTGGGATCTAGAGAGAGGTTCCATGAAAGCGGCAGTTGACTATCAGTCAAATGGTCCTAAGTAATCTGGTAAATCGGCACAGAGGTGAGGTTCCTGACATTCTCCGTTTGCGGGATTCGCTCACTAATCTTCAAAGTACTGTTACAATACAGCAACGTCCGACAATGGTTGTATCCTTTGAACTTAAGGTAGCGTATGATTCTGTGCAGTGTCTGTCAATGAAAGGTGTACCAAAGAAGCACATTAACCTGGGACAGGCCCTCCACTTGAACACTACTGTTTGAGTGAGAGCTTATGACAAACTGTCATTGAAATCGATTACTTCCACTGGTGTTTGTCAGGGTTGACCACTTCCTCCATCGCTATTCAACTTTGTCACCAACACGCTTTTAGAACCAACACTTTCATCGTCTGACTTTTGAGGAGTTGAATTTTTACCGGGAGATTCACTTGCTGACTTGTAATATGCCGATGACATAATTATATTTGGTGAAGACGCTGACAAAATGCAGAGTCTTCTGTTTACCCTAAGCAACAATGCAAGTATGTTTGGGATGTGATTCTCTTCCTGGAAATGCAAATTGTTGCTTCAGGATCGGTTTGCGTTGGCACCTGAACTAGTGATAGGCAGTAAACTAATTGAGAGTGTTGACCGCTGCGCTTATCTCTGAAGTCTCATCATTGCCGATGGCTTAGTGTGTGGCGAAATCTCAGCACGGATACTGAAGGATCTACCGACTTTTGCCGATTTGAGTCGCTTTGGTGTAGGTGAGATATCCGTTTGCTAACCAAAAGACGAGTGTACTGCGCAGCAGTTTGCTCCATCCTGCTCTATGGATGTGAGACATGACCAGTAAGAGTAGAAGATATTCGTAGGTTACTGATTTTCGATCATAGTTGTCTCAGAAGCATTGCTCGAATATCGTGGGACAACCGAGCAAGCATTGCTGCTGTTAGAAAACGGGTGCTAGGTAATGATGGCAGATCAATAGATGAAGTATTGACATTTCATCATTTGAGGTTGTTGAGACATGTATTATGAATGCCTAACCACCGACTGCCTCGTCGAGCAATACTTAGTGGTATAGAGTAGGCTGTTAGAAAGCTATGTGTGGCTAGACCATTTCATGTTACAAATTCATCAAGTCACTGACAAATGTATTGAGCCATGTTGGTAAGTATAGACTACCGTGTTCGGGCCCGCGAGATGATTATAGACTTTTGGTTATAGACTTTGAATGACATGTCTGAAAATGGTTTGTAATGGAGTAGGTGCATGTATTCTTTGTGTTCTCCGAAATTCATCTTTCTCTTTTCGAATCTATTTCACTGGATTGTACTTCTTGAATAATATCTTCGAACCCTAATCTTTCCGATTACTGCCAACACTTCTACTAGCTTAACTACTATGGGATTTGAATTGACAATTACATCTCTGTATGATAGTGTGGTATGGCAACTTGTATTGATCTATACCTGAGTATCAAGTTCTACGTTGTAACTAAATGACTGGTGCATATTTTGGTCGATAGGGCTTAATTTAGAATTTACCTTTTTTTGTGAAAAATGCTATATTTACTAATGTACTATGGCAACCGATGTTCAAACAGTTATCATCAAGTTCTACTCTGCAACTAGTTGACTGATTGAATAATAGGTTTACTTGTCTGCATATGATTTTCTATAATCTATCAAATTAAACATAATTATTTTTTTTTGTTTCTTAGCCTGATACTTTAGAAGCATTAAAAGATGAACTGGCAAAATTAACCAAGAAATTCGAATCTGAAGAGAAAGGTCAGTTGTGATAGCTTTTCATTATATGTAGCTTCAAATGTTGTGAATTTTGTTTTTTATTTTACAGGATAAAATGATAATTAATAATCAAACAGTTTGAAACTCCAAATCTCAGGAATAGTCGAAGGCTAAATATACTACTTTTCTACCTTTTTCTTGTCTGATTTTTCATTGCATCAGCCAAATTCTTCGACCATTCGTCACAGTAGGAAGAATTTCATCCAGATAATGTGGTGCGGGTTGCAGGTCGTTGTCAAGACATCTTAGGGGGGCCGTTGTTTCTCACCAGTTGGTACTATTTAGTAAAGTGTATCTGTAATATTCAAGGAACTGATACCCTCTTGATTACCCAATTTTAAAGTTGGATATATTAGTATTATCTGAGCTATTGAGTCTGTTATTAATCTTCAGTAAAATTGAGAAATTTTTAATCTATTGACAGTTGACCAATATCATTTCCTGTCTTTTCATTATAAGATTGTGGAGATTGTCTAGTTTTGTTGAAATCATAAATCGATCAGTTTTAGAAACCTGGAATCACTGAACGACCGTTTTGTCCCTAGTATGGGACCTCCATCATCATATGCTGCTCTCTAGCGACCAACTTTGTGAGGAATTTCTCCAGGTTCTAGTGAAAAGTCGTGACCAGTGGAGTTCAACCTTGTCCACCACGCGAAGACCAATGGATAAGGTCCTGCAAGACAGTGGATTGATCGAGGTTAGATATTAACATCGTTGGATACTTAGTGGCTCAGTGGCCTGTGGAGGTTAGGCGTTCGCGCGCGCGAGACCGAAGTTTCTGAATTTAATTCCAACGAGTGGCGGTCATTTGTATGCACTGCCGATTAGTCCGATACTAGAATGAAATCGGCTTCCAGGTGTCTAGTGGTGGTGGTCTTAACAGTGATCGATTCATGATTTCAATATTATGTTTGTCAAGTCTTGTAGAGTGCTAATCATTAAATTTCTATCGATTAAGTTGTAATATGATGATCGCACCAGTTGAATTGTGACTCAACTAAGTGGGAACATCTTGTGCCAGTTATTTTCCTTACTAAGCTAACATTGTAGTGAACGAGAACACAGGTGGGTCAATCGAATTGTATTTAACGAAAATTACAGAGTTACTCAGTAAAATCGGAAAACCGTATCGTAAATCGTTCATTTGCAAAATATCAGTTCATCATATCGATCTGGACTGTTCCTGTTGCCAAACGTCAATCCATTGTCACTATTCATGCGTTTCATACAAATTCCATTGTTTTCTAACTCTTCCTTTCTTGATCTTCCCCCATCTTCTGCTGCCAGACATTACGTTAACACTCACGTCATATACTACTTATAAGTAGCTCACACCACAACATGAATATAATAATAATTGTAATTAAGTTGATTTGTTTTTCTGTTCTCTTCTCTTTTTATTTCATCGTGTATATCAATACCAACCATTAATTAGCTCATAAAAAAACAAAACAAGATTTGGAAACTTTAAAGAAACAAACTCTTCAAACTAATAATGAATATGATCGTGTTACTCAAGAATGTCAAAAATTACAAGTAAGAATTGTGTATACAGAGATGATTTTCATGTTTTCTATATGTGAGATTCTATAATTCAATAACTAACAGCTTCTTACTTACTTACTTACTTACTTACTTACTTACTTACTTACTTACTTACGCCTGTTACCCCCAATGGAGCATAGGCTGCCCACCAGTTTTCGCCAACCAACTCTGTCCTGGGCTTCCCTCTCCAGTTCTGTCCAATGTTTGTTCATTCCTCTCATATCTTTCTCTATTTCTCGGCCTAATGTGTTCCTTGGCCTTCCTCTTTTCCTTTCGCCTTCAGGGTTCCATGTGAGGGCTTCTCTCGTGACGCAGTTAGGTGCTTTTCGTAGTGTGTGTCCTATCCACTTACACCGCTTCTTCCTGATTTTCAACTCCATTGGTTTGTTCTCTCCCACAGTAAGTTGTTGCTGATGGTGTTTGGCCAACGAATTCGAAGTATTTTGCGTAGACAACTGTTAATAAACACTTGTATCTTCTGGATGATGACTTTCGTAGTTCTCCATGTTTGCACTCCATACAGTAGAACTGTCTTGATATTTGTATTGAAAATCGTGATTTTGGTTTTGGTTGAAAGTTGTTTTGAGTTCCAGATATTTTTCAACTGTAGAAATGCAGCCCTTACTTTGCCGATCCGCGCCCTCACATCTGCATCGGATCCACTTTGATTGTCAATGATGCTACCCAGATATGTTAAGGGTGTTAACGGCCTCCAAGGCATCTCCATCAAGGGTGATTTGGTTGGTGCATGTTGTGTTGCATCGGAGAATTTCGCTTTTTCCTTTATGTATGTTGGGACCTACTGCTGCAGAGGCTGCTACTACACTGGTCGTCTTCTCTTGCATTTGTTGTTGCGTGTTCGATAGAAGAGCCAGGTCATCTGCGAAGTCAGCTGCGTCCTAGCTGTCCACTGAATAATACCGTGCTTTCCTTCAGATGTCGACGTCTTCATAATCCAGTCCATGACCAGGAGAAAGGTAACAGCTTCTTAGGAAATATATTTTACTGATCGTACATGAGCTAGTTTAATTAGTCTAATTAGATACTGTTTTGAACGAAGACGTCAAGACCAGATGGATTATATATATATATATATATATATATATATATATATAATATTATATGGTGAAGATACAGTTTATTTTTTAAAATATGTACACATAATTTTCAAACGCCCCATTTACAATATAAGCCAACTTCTGACCGCCTTTTACATCTCTTCGGGTCTTTAATATATATTTTGATCTATCTCCATGCATTTCGAGCTCCGAGCACTCTTATCTCTAATAGTGACTTCTGAAGAACATATTAAATTTGAAGCACCTACCATTCCGGTTCGTGTGTACTCAATTAACTTCAACTTTCTGTTGAAGACCTTCAATTAGCTTCTCAATGGACAATATTTTTCTTATTGGTCTTCCGTTATCGAAAATAATTCCAAACTCATTAATTGTCTTAAGGCTGTAGCCGTGATATCCACTGGTTGTATTGCGTTCGCCAACTTGTAGTTGTTGGGCTATAATAACAATTGCTGGAACACTCATGGAACTGTGCGACTGGATTGCACTTCTTGAATAATATTTTCGCATGGTAATCTTTCTTTCCGATTACTGCTCATACTTCTACTTCCTCTGACACTATGAGATCTGAATTGAAAATTCCTCCTCTGTATGTGGTAATGACGTATGGCAACTTGAATTGTTGCACGTCCGTACGTACGACGTTCTAAGTCATCTCTGACTGACTGATACTGTACTAGATGGGCAAACAAATAAATAGATGATTTTTAATGGAGTTTTGTTCTCTGAGCTTTCATTGTTCTTCTGAACAACATTAGCAACACAACACATCAGTTATAAAAGAAGTGA